GCTTCCCACAGAGCAGGGAGCCCAATGTGGGGCTCAATCCCAGGACGCTGGGATCATGACCAGAGCCAAAGGCAGATGCTTAACGACTGAGCCACCCAGGAGCCCCTTTTTATTTTATTTTATTTTATTTTTTTACGGGGTGCACTGAGGAAGGGAATGGCAGTATCTTTTGACCTTGTGACCCTCCCTCAGGGCACTGAAGTATTTCCCATCCTGCACTCTGCTCTCAATGATCCACGTTACTTTGAAAAACCAGATGTCTTCAACCCTGACCACTTTCTGGATGCCAAGGGGGCATTGAAGAAGAATGAAGCTTTTATCCCCTTCTCCATAGGTGAGCTGGGCTTCCACTCCCTTTCCCAGACCCCAGAGTGCCATCCCCACCCTGAGACAATCAAGGGGAGATCTTTGCTTTGTGAGCATCAGTGTGTGTGTGTATATGTATATGTCAGTTGCTTTACCCACTTTAATCTGTTCCATTTTTACTGCAACCCTAGAGGGGACTTAAGAAGTAAGATCATGTCCCAAAGGCACATCTTGGTGAGCTGGACCAGGGAAAATATTTTAACCTCTTTATACCTTGGTATAAAATATCTATCAAGCACTGCTCTGAGCTCAGTGCTCGGCTGGGGGCTGAAAATAATGTGCGGGACAATTCACGTTCAGACAATTCACACAGTTCCTGCCCCAGGAAATTTACAATCCAGCAGGGTAGATGGGCATTTATAATCTGGCCACAAAAATAGTCCCTAATGAAATGAATCGGTGCTTGTAATGTGCTTAGGGCTGCTTGCCACAAAGGGAGTGGTCACAGAAGTGGTGATTATTATCACGATGAATGAATGAATCGTGATTGTGATAAGTGCTCTAAAAGGGCCTTTGGAAACACAAAATAGGAAAGACTGACTACTCTTTTTTTTTTTTTAAAGATTTTATTTATTTATTTGTCAGAGAGAGAGAGAGGGAGAGAGAGCAAGCACAGGCAGACAGAATGGCAGGCAGAGGCAGAGGGAGAAGCAGGCTCCCTGATGAGCAAGGAGCCCGATGTGGGACTCGATCCCAGGACGCTGGGATCATGACCTGAGCCGAAGGCAGCTGCTTAACCAACTGAGCCACCCAGGCGTCCCAAGACTGACTACTCTTGATGATTCATTGGGGAAAACTTCCCCTGAAGCCCTGGCCTCTATGCTAAGATGTCAAGGATGAGTATCAGTTGGCCTCTAGAAAGAGTGATCGAGGCAGAGGCAACAGCAAGGTCAAAGCCTGCAGGTGGAAACATGATGGCATATTTGAGAAACTAGATGAACCCTGTGAGTTGGAATGTAGATTATAGAAGGGGACAAGGGTGAAGAGCTCAGCTGGGGGGGCATGAAAGCTGGGGGTGTTTGGATTTATCCTGCTGGCGCTGGGGAACCAGAGAGGCTCTTGACATGCTCTGAATTGTCTCTGTCCACATTCTCCACATTCTCGCCCCTTCTAGAGACAACCCCAATGCCCAGGGTCCTCATCCTTTGGGAGAAAGGAGGACCCTAGAGTCAAGACAGAGATGTAGGAAAAGAAGGACAGATACAGACAGACAAAGAAGGAGTGAGTGAGAAACAGAGAGAGGGACAAGGAGAGACAGAGACAGTAACAGGGGACATAGGGACAGAAAGAGACAGAGTGAACATGAGACAATAGAGCGAGGAAGAGGAGAGAGAGAGACAGAAAAGGGGAGAGAGAGAGTGTTTCAGATGGAATCAGATGCAAATGGACAGAGACAGGGAGATTAAAATGGAAGAAAGTGGGCAAAAGAGGAGGGAGACAAGATACAAACAGAGCAAGAGACTGGGGCAATTTCGCCATGGCAGGAAAGAAAGACAAGCCAAGGCAAAAAGATGGTCAGACAAAAAGCATGCAAAGGTGTCCCAATAGACAGCCCAGGGGATGAAGAAGACAGGGTGGGAGTAGAGAGTAGAGCCAGGCTGTTCTGGAAAGAACTGGGTCAAAGAACCAGGTGTAGGAGAACTAGCCCGAGCTCTGCCCTTGGTATTTCCTAAGTTCGTATTTCTTAATTTCTAATGTGCAAAAAGATGTGGACATATTCCCCAGAAACCTCCATGAAGGCCCAATGCAAGGTCAGGAAACATCTGGAATGGCCTTTCCAAGGTGGCCAGCTTGCAGATAAACAGGACCTGACATAAAGGACGAGGCTTTCAGTGTCTCTGCCTGAGGGCTCCACTCCATGTGTCCTCATTTCTCATCAAGCCCATGCTCTGTAACCTACTGGGGAGCTCTCACGCCTCTGAGAGTCTGCTGGAAGCTGTAGACTCCCCTCTCACAAGTACCAGTCCCACTCACAGTTTTAGGGGCAGTTTGGTTTTTGCCCCGAACTCTTGAAGCCGGTGGCTCTCAGACTGAGATAAGATGACAACCCAGAGATAGGGAAACACACAGTGCCAGATACACCCCCCACCCCCGCTCCCCAGCAACCTCACACTCCCCACCAGACACACACTCCATGCCACATACACCCAGAAGGAAACACAAAGCAAGAACCACCTATTGCATCCTTAGCAGAGGCCAAGTGTTAGTCTAGGAATTTTTACAATATTCATTTCTTTAACCTCACAATATCCCTATTTGATGGGTACTCTTCTCCCCATATTGGAAATGAAAGATGTTAAAAATGTCAGAAATGTGCACACACCTACACAGTGGAGGCAGACAGACAGACAGACACACATACACACACACATCCAACCAGAAATGTGTCTTTATCCTCTGGGGGACTGCTGGACCCTCTGGAAATCTAAGAAAAGAACTCTCTCCTGGGGAAAAAAAAAATGTGCAAGGCCTAAATGTTTACACTTTCAGAGGGCCCGGGAACCCCCAGGAATTACACCCTGAATTGCAGGTTAAAGGCTAATCCCATACACATCTGTTGCAATGGCCACAGATGTCTGGGTTTGCCATGTGAGAGGGCAAGGAACATGCATTGGCTCCGTGCCCATGCTGATGATCTTGTGTGTCCACAGGGAAGCGCATCTGTCTTGGTGAAGGCATTGCCCGCATGGAATTATTCCTCTTTTTCACCACCATCCTCCAGAACTTCTCTGTGGCCAGCCCCATGGCTCCTGAGGACATCGACCTCACACCCCGGGAGATCGGTGTGGGCAAAGTGCCCCCTGTGTACCAGATCAGCTTTCTGTCTCATGGAGGGTGCTGAGGGAGGCGGGGGGAGTCAAAGAATCCCAGGATCATGAAGTATCCCACCTCTGCAGAGAATAGTTCCTTGCCTCTCTCTGGGTCTTCCTGCCATGAAGAGACCCACAGCCAGCCAGCGCCCTCCCCTCCTTGGTGCCATCTCCCTGGGAAAGTCCTCTTTGCCACCTCATCTCAGCCCATCATTCTGCAGCTCTTGTAAAGACTCATTGGAAATGTTTTCTCTCCTTTGTTAACAGAGTTCTGGATGAACTGCATATATAAAAGCTGGGGGCTAAGAGGGGAGACATGGCTCCCTTCTACCTCCCAAGCCACATCTTCCCCCAGTGACTCCTCCCTTCCTCAGAACTACCGCCCTCTCCTAGCAACTGTTTGCGCTCCATGATCTGTGCATACACGATCTCACTTGAATCTTCCTTCCAGGGTTTCCATGGGGGTGGGTGTGATGATCGCGTCCATCTTACAGATGAGTAAACAAAGGCCAGGCACTGGCATCCGTTGTCCCAGGTCGTATGGTTGGGAGTGGAGAAGCAAGGTTCACACTCCATCTCCCTGGCTCTCAACTCAAATTCTTCAGCCGGTCCTGCCCAACTGCCCCCAATATATTTTCAAATTGTGGTGAAATTAACATAACATAAAGCGTTTTAAGGTGTATAATTTCGTGGCATTGAGTTCATTTCCAATGTGGTACAACCACCACCACTATCTAGTTCCAAACATTCTCATCTCCCAAGAAGAAAACCCTGTACCCATTAGCAGTCACTCTCCATTCCCCCTTCCCCCAGCCCCCAGTAGCCACCAATCTGCTTTTAGCTCTATGGCTTTGCCTTGTCTGTGTATTTCATATAAATGGAATCATACAATATGTGCTCTGTTGTGTCTGGCTTCTGTCACCCAGCATCATATTTTGGAAGTTCATCCACACTGTAGACCATTGCTGTCCTTGTTCCCAAAGACTCTCCCTACTGCTTCCCTCGGGGCAAGGGTCTCCTCGGCCCACAACCCCCTGAGCTGCATGATTCTACACTGGGGCCTTGGATTCCCCGATAGTGCCCTTCAATCCCCCTGACACTCAAATAAACATCCAAAGCCTGGTCAGATGGGGATCCATGACATTCTGTGTGAGACCCATCTATTGCCAGGTCACTAGGGATCTTTCTGGAAGGTGAGAATTTCTTCACTGCCAGGTCAGTTCCAAGAAGGCAAAATATTTGCTGAGGAATGAATGAATGAATGAATGAATGGTTGAATCAGGCAACCCAAAGGCACCCCCAACATGGAGCTAGACTTCCCCCATCAGACCTTGTCTTTGTCTTCATATCTCATTTTCTTCTGATGACCAGAACAAGTTCCTATTCCCAAAGAACACAGGATGTACCAATTCTGCCTTCTAGCTATTCTTAGTCTCTCATGATGCAATGCCACCCTTTGAGAAAACTGGCCAAGAGCCATCCTTGTGGTGCAACCTCCCCTCACCAACCTCTACATGTTCCACAGGCTAATGCCACTACCCTTCCTTCAGGAAGGTATTCCAAGTTCAAGGGCATTGTCTGCTAAGATATCTCCAGGCAGCCAGAGCCCAATATAAGGCTAGTTTTGGGACCCGTGTGAGACGCTAAACTTCCTGGCTTCTGCAGCACCTGCCAACTTTGGGCTCCCTGTTGCTAGAGAGTTCCCAAGAGCTCTTCTAAGGTAGATTTATGACCCACCTGCCCCCACTAACCCAAAAAAATGACAACAGAGCAGCCTCCCTTTAAAGAGGGGCAGCAGGATGGAAGGTAGACACAGCCAGGAACATGGTGCTGTCAACCCTCCTGCTTCTCAGTGTCCTCATTGGCCTCTTGCTACTCTGGGGTCACCCAACCTCCCGGGGATGCGTCCCTCCAGGACCTTGGCCTCTGTCCTTCCTGGGGAACATTTTGCAAATAGACCACCAGGGCTTTCTCAAGACCTTCCAGTCGGTGAGTTGGGGAGAGGGAAGGAGGAGGATAAGCAGGAGATGGGTGGACAGGTAAGAGATCACAAGCAGCAAGGCAGTTGGGGTTCAAACTGTGGTTGAGACTTCTCAGGCCAGCTTGGGGATTATCTTCTTCCAGCCTCGATCTGTCATCTGGCCCAATATGTCCACGAGAGAAGCTTCTGGAATTCCTATAAGAAGGAATGCAGGGAAGGTAGACTGGAGGGAGAAATTATGATGGTAGACATGAAGCTTTGAGCTGTGTCCTGCAGGGTTTGGGAGGGAGAGGTACTAGAGCTTACATATGAGGAGTCACTGTCATTTTTTAAAAAAGATTTTATTTATTTATTTGAGAAAGAGAGCAGGGGCCAGGGGAGAGGCAGAGGGAGAGGGGGAAGCAGACTCCCTGCTGAGCAGGGAGCCCGATGCAGGGCTCTATCCCAAATGAGCCACCAAGGTGCCCTGAGTCTCTGTCATTTTTAAAATTTGAAGCTGGGAGAGTTCTTGGAAAAGCTAAGAGATGAGAACATTTGGGGCAAGGGTGTATGAGGGAGGCTTGGAAGAGGCCACAGAGTTCGGGTTTCCCTTCTTCCTTGATAGGGATTCAATGGGGACCAGTGGTGGTGGTTAGGCTAGACTGGAGGGTGTGACCCAGGTGTAAGGATGGAGACTCCTCTCTTGAGTGAGAGAGTGAGAGCTAGACCCCACCTCCACAGCTGCAGAAGAAATATGGGGACGTCTTCACAGTCTACCTGGGACCCCGGCCTGTTGTCATCCTGTATGGGTACAAGGCAGTGAAGGAGGCTCTGGTGAATCAAGCTGAAGCTTTCTCTGGCCGAGGACCCATCGCCATCATCGATCCCTTCTTCAAGGGGAGAGGTGAGTGGGGCACGGGGGTGGAGGTTGGGGAAAAGACTAGGAGATGCCTCCCAAACTTCCCACCATGCCCCCCCAATCAGGTTTGGTCTTTGTCAATGGAAAGTCTTGGAAGGTCCTTCGGCAGTTCTCTCAGCTCACCATGAGAGAGTTTGGGATGGGGAAGCAGAGCATTGAGAAGCAAATCCAGGAGGAGGCTCAGCATCTGGTAGAGGAGCTCCAGAAATCCCGGGGTGAGCCCAGGGGCAGGGGGTGGATGGGCAGGCAGGGGGTGGGTAGATGGGGACAGAACGACCCAGAGACAGAGACAAAGAGATGCAGAGACAAGTTTAAGGAAAGAGAGAAGGAGACAGACAGAAAGAGAAAGAGAATGAAGAAAACAGGGACAGAGAGAGGAAAAGGCAGAGAAAGCAGACAGAGAAGCAAGTCAGAGGGAAAACCCAGGACCCTGACAAAGATTGATCCAGAAGCAGAAACTGTAAGGAAAGGACGTAGAAAGAAAAGGGTAAAGAGAATAGAGTCAGGGGAGAGGGCCAAGAAGATGGGCATGGGAAGAGAGAGGACAGAGAAGAAGGGGCTGAGTCTCAAACAAAGAGTCAGAGACAAGACCAGAGAAAGACAAAGGTGCACCAAGAGAGTCAGATCCAGACAGAGTCCAAGAAAACCATGAGACAAAAGCCTGAGATGTCCAGGAAAAAACCATCAGAGACCAGCAAAGGCAGGCTGGCCAAGGGAAAGAGAAAGAGACCAACCAACCAAGCTGAGATGGCACCGGCCAGGTCAGAGCCTCCCAGAAGCACCATGTAGGGCCCTACCATGACAGAACTCCTGTTCACAGGGGCCTATCTGGATCCCACCTTCTTCTTTCACTCCGCCATGGCTAACATCATTTGTACTATCATCTTTGGCCAGCGCTTCAATAACCAGGACCCCAGATTCCTACCGTTGCTACATTTAATGAATGATGTCTCTGATCTTTCCAGCTCTTTCTACGGCCAGGTGAAGCCAAAGGTTCCGTGGGGGGGGGGTAGGAATTGGGGTGGGTGGACCCTGGGCAAAAATCAGATGCTTTTTGTCTTAACACTGATGCAAGAAGGCACCAAAGGTGATGAGTCAGGCTGGAGGTAGGAAATAGACCTTAGGAAAGGGAGGCCTATGAGAGAGGAAATCCCAGTAGAGGTAAGCATGATTGGGCCAGGGTGCACTCGTTCACACACCACTGAGTGTGTACATGTGTGCTTGTTTGCTCAACTGGGAGGCGCGCCATTCCCCAAGGCCAGGGGGTGAATTAAGCCCTTTATTTATTGCTGTGCCATGCAGGGCACAGCCTCAACCCTGCAGTACCAGCCCAGAGGCAACAGACTCTGGGACCTCCTTGCTTCCCTGCAGATGTTTGAAGTCTTCTCCGGCATCCTGAAATACTTTCCGGGCATCCACAGGGACGTGTACAGCAAAGTCCAAGAAATTGAAGATTTTGTCATTAAGAACATCCAGAGGCACCGGGAAATGCTGGACCCCAGCGCCCCAAAGGACTTCATCGATTCCTTCCTGGTCCGCATGGACAAGGCAAGGGCCAAGCTGGATGAGGGGTGGGTGGGAAAGAGAGCGATGGGCACACTACTGATTTCGAGCTAATATGTTTGGGTACGATGTATGTGATGTTTAAATGTTGAAATACTTCCCTGTGAATTGGTAAGAAAGCCACTAGTCCACCCTCCCTTCCCATCTCCCAGTCCTTCCTCAGCTTTCCCAGACTCTCCTGGAACGGTGGTCTGAGGTAGCAACTAAAAGAGCTAGCGAGCACCGGCCCCACACAGGGGGTCTTCAAGACCCTTCTCCATCTCCTCGCGTTCTAAATAGGCAGAGGCCTATGTCTGTTCTGATTGGTTGGAGGCCTGTGTCTGTTCTGATTGGTCGGAGGCCAGTTTCTGTTCTGATTGGTCAGAGGCCCGTGTCTGTTCTGATTGGCCTGGCAAGTGCGTAGCTGGTTATTAAGTATTTCAGTATCACCCCTGGATAGACAACTGCAAGGAAAGAGAGACACCCAAAGAAAGGATAGCAAGAAAACAAAAAATATTAATCCCTAACATGTATGGAGTACTTACAAACATAATATCAAAACAACCCCAGACAACGAACTAAGGCACAGAGAGGTTAAGCTCCTTACCCAAAGACTCCTAACTAGTGAATGGTAGGACTTTAGTTTGAATGTAGGCAGTTTGGGTCCAGAGCCCACACTTTTGCTCCACTGTTGGCCTCGAATAGAGAAAAAAGGAAATACCAAAAAGAAAAAAGAAAGAAAGAAAGAAACTGGCACAGAATAACATGGAGGTGGGTTGGAAGAAAAGATCTAGAAGCTGAGAATCTTTGCAAGGGGAGATGTTAAGGATTGTCTGTCGCTATCCCCAGGAGAGCTCTGATCCTGAGAGCAAGTTTCACTTCAAGAACCTTGTCTACACGGTCGTCTTGCTGTTTCTCGCTGGCACAGAGAGCTCCAGCAACACTCTCTTGCATGGATTTGTACTCCTTCTTAAGAACCCTGATGTTGTAGGTGAGCTGGGCATTGGTAGTCGAGGGCCAGAAAGAGCTGAGGGTCTTGCAGCCATACTGGAAGGTGGTCTTGTGATGGGTGAAGACAGACCACTTCGGTCAGCAAAGATCCACCCCTGGAGGGACTTGTAGCTTATTATAAAGTTTTGCTGAGAACAAAGCACTTTGGAGTTGACAGGGTAATTTACAGTTTACAAAATGTTTTCCATTCAATGAAGCCCCTGTGGCTTGAAAGGTACTTTTATAAAGTACATAAGGTGAATTGTAAAATGCTTCATGGTTTAGAAGGGGTGCTCCAACCACGGAGTATCATTCACAAAGCATTTTGCAGTCTACAAAACCACATGGCTCTTGACAGAAAGCTTTGAGGTTAACAAAGAACTTGACTATTTGAAGTATATTGCTGATTTATAGCTAATTAGAAAGGCCCTCATTCAGTTCTCATGCTGACAGTCTGCAGATCAGACTTGGAGAAACTCTTATCTAATCAAATTCCCTTATTTTACAGGTAATCAATTTGAGAGCCAGATTGGGGAAATGGTTTATTCAAGATCACATAGCAAGTCACTGGGACAAAATGATATGACACCAGTCCCAGTCATACCCATTATTAGTTTAAAAAAAGAAAAGGAAAGAAAAGAAAAGAAAAGAAACAAAGAAAAGAAAAGAAAAAGATAGCCTTAAGTGTTGAGTGAGTTTCCACCCTCCCATCATTACTCAACTGATCTCCATTCATAACTAGCATGGAAACATCAGACAAGACTTCCCCACAATGAAGCCACTGACTTTCATTCATTGAAAAGTCAATGAATGTTCCTTTCATTGAGAAGGAACAATAACCCAACATCTTAGCAAATAGTTCATAAGACACCCCTTCTCCCCAGTCTGCAGATCATCTTCTGTGTGACTTTGTTGAGCCCACTATTACTGACATTCATTGATGTTACCCCCTCCTTCCATGCTTACCATTTTTAGAGAAAGTCCAGGAGGAGATTGACAGAGTGATTGGCTCACATCATCTCCCAGCCCTTGAAGATCGGGCAAAAATGCCTTACACAGATGCCGTCATCCATGAAATTCAGAGATTCAGTGACGTCCTCCCCCTTGGTGTTCCGCGTTGTGTCATCAAGGACACTCACTTCCGGGGATATCATCTCCCTAAGGTGAGACCACAGAATCTTGGTGTAGCCTTATGGTTCAAGTCTCTGGTCAGTGGATCACAATGAGAATTATTATTTCCAGATTTCTATGGGAAGGAGACAGATTTTTGAAATGTAGAAAAATCTTCTCCCTTCTGTCCTTTTTTTTTTTTTTTAACCTTTATTAGATGTTGGATACACTGGGGGGAAAGCATATACTTACTGAATTATGTATTACAATAGAGCTGTTTTTTTTTAAAAACATTTTGTCATCTCCCCTACCTTCCTCTTTCATGAGAAGACATTCAAAGCTTTGTTTCTCTTTCTATAATTTCTTTAAGTTTATATGAACATGCACTCCATATATACACATAATAGATGAGCTTATTTTTTTAAGGGTTTATTTATTTATTTGAGAGAGAAAAAGCACATGGGGGGAGGGCCAGAGAGAGAGAGAGAGTCTTTTCTTTTTTAAAGATTTTATTTATTTGAGAAAGAGAGAGAGAGAGATCACAAGTAGGCAGAGAGGCAGGCAGAGAGAGAGGGGGAAGCAGGCTCCCCGCTGAGAAGAGAACCCAATGTTGGGCTTGATCCCAGGACCCTGAGATCATGACCTGAGCCGAAGGCAGAGGCTTAACCCACTGAGCCACCCAGGCGCCCCAAGAGAGAGAGTCTTAAGCAGACTCTAGGCTGAACACAGAACCTGACACGGGGCTCGATCTCACTACCCTGAGATCACAATCTGAGGTGAAACCAAGAGTCAGATGATTAACTGTGCCACCCAGGTGCCCCGATTCAGTTCATATTTTATCTATCACTTTGAAACTTGTGTGTCCAGTGTGTGTGTGTCTCCTTCTCCTCATGTCTTCATGTGCAAATCATTGCAATGTGCAACTTATCTTTTATTGTTTTTGTGTGTGTGTCTTTCTTTTTATAATATCACAATAGTATGCTATATGCACTGGTTAATCAAAAAATTCATTTGATCCACTTTTTGCATTACCCACATTAATGCTGTGGTCTGGAACCACACCTGCAATATCTCTGAGATGTGCCTGTAGATCCTGGTTCTTGTTGAGTTGGTTCCTTGGAGGCTTCTGCTGAGCCAAATGTGAAACTTTCAGTCGATGGATTATGGAGAAGTCCGAAGGGTCTTGGGGGAAGAGGGGATGAGGTAGTTGTTAGGGATACCTAGAAGGCTTCGGACAAAACTATTAACCAAATAGGGCAAAGTTACTCAAAATATCAGCCACCAAGTATAGAACCATACAAAGGATGAAGCTATTGTTAATCCATTGTGGATGTACCATCATTGATTCAGCCACTCCTTGTTCATGCCCCTTTGGGTCCTCTTGGCTTTGACACCCTCTTAGGGCACCACTGTGTATCCCATCTTGAGCTCCGTCCTCCATGAGCCATGCCACTTTGAGAAGCCAGAAACGTTCCACCCTGGCCACTTCCTGGATGCGGAGGGCAACTTCAGATGCAGGAGACCTTTATCCCATTCTCCCTAGGTAAGCTGAGACCTTCCCCACATTTTGAGAACTCCTGCTCACCACTTCCCCTTTGTGTGACTTTCTCCCTTTGTCCAACCCCAAACACACAATGAAGATTTTTGAAAAAGATGAGGATTCAGAAGAAAAGAAAAAGCAGGAAATCTACAGAGACATAGAAGGTGTGGGAGAAGGAAAAGAGGGGGTATAATAGGGAAGACAGAGACTAAGTCAATGACGGAGATGAAGTAAAAGACAAAGACACACACATGCTCGCACATTCTCACACAAAGAACAGACAAATGAGGGATCCATTATTGAGCGTCTGCCATGTGCCAAGAATTGAGAAAGGCATTTGAGCTTTTCTTTCAAAATAAAAAGAACCTTATTGTTCTTTTTAAGATTTTATTTATGTATTTGACAGACAGAGATCACAAGTAGGCAGAGAGAGAGGAAGGGAAGCAGGCTCCCCGAAGCAGGCTCCCTGCTGAGCAGAGAGCCTGATGCGGAGCTCGATCCCAGGACCCTGGAATCATGACCTGAGCCAAAGGCAGAGGCTTAAACCACTGAGCCACCCAGGCGCCCCAAGAACTTTATTGTTTATTTCTAATTTTTATACAAACAAGGAGGCAATAAAATTAAAGTAAAAATCACCTGTAATTCACTGTCAAAATCAGACTTTAACAAAAAATTGAATAGGCTTTATTAACAGATTCATGAATTGGGAAGCATCCCATCTAGCAAGTAGAGAGGAGCTCCAAAACCCAGACTTGTTAATATCACAGAGGATATCCTTCTATATTTTCTGTTAAACATCTGCACACACACAAAGGTAGGTGATGGGTAGACAGATAGATAATAGGTAGGTAGATAAAAGGAAGGTAAGATGAAAAAGAGAGCACAGGGATGCCTGGGTGGCTCAGTCAGTTAAGCCGCTGCCTTTGGCTCAGGTCATGATTCCATGATTCCTCTCAACAGGGAGCCTGCTTCTCTCTCTGCCTCTGTCTGCTTATGTGCTCTCTCTCTGATAAATAAATTAAATCTTTATAAAGAAAAGAAAAGAAAAGAAAAGAAAAGAAAAAAACAGTAGGGAAGGGAGAAGAGAAAAAGGAATTGATTTATTTCTTATTTGCCAGTTGTTGAAATCCAAGCCCCAGACTAGAATGAGGCCCTGGGGAGACCTAGGGCAAAAAATATAAGGAATATTCACTCACTGTGATAGTTGTACAAGTGCCTTCATTCACCTATCGATTAATTCAATTTTTAGCCACTGACTTGAAATTTATCATAGGCTAACATTTTAAATCTCCTTAGGTCTATTCCTGGCTTACTTTTACTGACCCATATCCACACTGGTTCACGGATGTGTCTTTTCTAGCTATACCATACTATTTGGATTATTATACCTGTGTAATAAGTTCCATTATTTTACAGGGTCTAACTCCCTCTGTTGCCCTTCTTTCCCACATAGTTACATGGTCCTTGTAACACATTTTATTTTCTTCCAAGTACTCTTTAGAACTTTTTTTCAAATTCTCAAAAAATCCCCCTGGCATTTTATTGGGCTTAACTTAAATTTGCAGATTCATCTGGACAGCTTTGACAACTTGAGAAATTTGAGATATCCCAGACAAAACTAGAGTGTGTGTCCACTGAAGCAACTCTTGTATGATTTGGTGGCATCTCGGGCTTTTGTTTTCTTAATCAAGTCTTGCATATTTCTTGCTAAATTTATTTCTAAGACACTCGGGAGGAGATAGTGGCTCTTGTTCACAGAGCCTCTTTGTCTCCTTCAGCTCAGTCTTCCATAACAAAACGACATAGACTAGCTGTATTCTAGAAAATTTGCTGCAGATGGGATCCCACCCAGGCTCCAACTGGATGGGACACTTCTGTGGTGGTTGACCCCAGCTTGCAGGAAGAAAGGAGAGGCAGGGGTGATTTTCTGAATGTTTATCAAGCATGACGGGGCCCACCAACCAAATGAGACTGTCACTGGTTGGGGTATGGGGATTAGGTCTGGGAGGCTCACATCGTTAGTGCTGATTGCGAGTAGGTCTGGGGGCTTGGAGGAGACCAAGGTGACCAGAAGAGTGGGACACTTAGAAGGTTAGAGCAGTGGCTGCACATTGAGGGCTATATATATATTTTTAAGATTTTATTTATTTATTTGACAGAGAGATCACAAGTAGGCAGAGAGACAGGCAGAGAGGGGGGGGGGAAGCAGGCTCCCTGCTGAGCCGAGAGCCCTATTCAGGGCTCTATCTTAGGACCCTGAGATCACAACCCTAGCGGAAGGCAGAGGCTTAACCCACTGAGCCACCCAGGCGTCCCCCAGAGTAGTTCTACATTTTAATAGCCTGTTAAGTAGTAGGGCCCGCCTCCTAGGTATGGTCCAGAGCCAGGACCTCAGAAGTTTCAGTTCCCCTCTACTTCTCTCTCATGATTCCTCATACCCAGGACATGCTTGCAAGATTTTTTCCACTATTTGCACATTTTTTCAAAACATCAGCTGAGCTGAGAATATACTTAACCAGAGATAACACAGAGAAAGAACTCTTAACAGGCAAAGACTGGGGACCAAGAGAGACAGAGGAGGACACCGTAGAGGACAGGCTGAGACGAGGTGGGACCAGATAGAAACAGGCATGCATGCATACGCTGGTGTTGCCTGTGTTGAGGACAAGAACAGAAGTACCTCATATGTAAATCTATAAATGAGCATGCAAATGTCCCAGGAGAGGGGGTGTGGGGCAGCCGAGTGCTCCTGAGGGCTCCCCCAATGACACATGTCCCCCTCACACCCTCAGGAAGATGCCTTTGCCTGGGTGAGAGCCTGGCCCGCTCAGAGCTCTTCCTGTTCTTGACCTCTGTGCTACAAAACTTCACCTTGAGATCTCCCAAGGCCCTGGAAGATATTGATATCACTCCCCGGAGGAATGGGCTGGGAAAAATGCCCCCTGAGTTCCAGCTCTGCTTCCTGCCCCGCCAGGGAGTGGCACCAAGGCTGTAGATCCCCTTGGAGCTCTTCCATCTAGCCCCCACCTCTGCCCACAGGCAGTCTATGGAGGCGTCCTGACTCCTCCCTGCTCACTCTCCCCTGGGGAAAATCCCTTCTGTAGTCTCCTCTGTCAGCCTGCTGTCTTCACCCTTCATCCCTAGATGGCCTGCCCTGCTGATGGAGGGCAAAACCTTGGCCTTCAGGGCCAGGAAATACCTTCAGTAACTTGGTGTCATCACCATCCATTGTGCAGTTGGGGAAACTGAGGCCCACACCTATACCCAACCACCCGCAGCTCTCCTGTTCTTTCCCTGAGTTGAAAAAGCCACTATGGCCCTCAGCCTCTGGGCTGTGTACTTTAAAAGACCTCCCCTATTTCTCTGCTCTTATCCACCAAAACCAACGAGATCAAAATAAAGTTCTGCTCTTTCTGGACCCAATGGCTATCTTGTTACCATGCTTTTTTTTTTTTTTCTTTTCTTCCTTTTTTTTTTTTTTTTTTTAAAGATTTTATTTATTTATTTGACAGAGAGATCACAAGCGGGCAGAGAGGCAGGCAGAGAGAGAGGAGGAAGCAGGCTCCCCGCTGAGCAGAGAGCCCGATGCGGGGCTCGATCCCAGGACTCTGAGATCACGACCCGAGCCGAAGGCAGCGGCTCAACCCACTGAGCCACCCAGGTGCCCCCCCCCTTTTTTTTTTTGAGCTAAAATTCACATAACAAAATTAAACACTCACCATCTTAAAGTATACAATTCAACGGCATTTCGTACAATCACAGTATCATGCAATCATTGTCTCTGTCCAGCATCCAATCATGTTCATTGCCCCAAAAGGAAACACTGTACTTTTGAGGGCCGAATAATATTCTGCTGGATGGAAATACCACGTTCGGTTTATCCCCCCCATCAGGTAATTGGCATGTGGCTTGTTGACACCTTTTGGCTCTTGTGAACAGTGTTGCTGTGGACATCTGTGTGCAGGGTAGCCTTGCGTTTGTTTTACTCTCCATTGGGAATGGAAGGCAGGTGTTCTTCTGTTTCCGCCTTCGGACTTGAGGCTCTGGAAGGAGGGGGCCATAACTCCCTTCCCAGATGCTCCTCCAAAGTGGTATTGAAGATTCCATGAGACAGTATGGCCAGAGTGGCTAGAACAGGGCTTGGCACCAAGCAAATAGCCCTGAAGTGTCTGACAAGTAAATAAATCCTCCAGGAGGTGACGTCATTGGCCTGAAGGCAGAGCCTGACATACCAGAGTCCAGTGACTCTCCGGGCTGAGCTCTTGACACTGGGGTGCTGTGGAGAGGGTGTCCCTACCATTCAGCCCTGTGCTTCGGTTTCCCTCCTGTCCCATGCTGAGGGGCCATTCAAGGCATTCTGGAGTAAGGCTGTTGCATGGAGAAGCATGGGAGGGGTAGCCAGTTCCTATACCCAAGAGGATGGATGTGGGGACAGGGGGTCCCAGTCAGCCAGAGTAACGCCCCTTCCCTGTCCCATCCTCTCTGCCTCAACCCCAGACACGTGCTTGGTCCCAGTTCTCAGGAGAAGGGAGGCAGGGTTCTGGGATGTGTGGGGGCTTACTGCATCTCTGATTATGGTCTTTGGACAGTCTGGGCTATACCTTCACCGCTGAGGGATGGGTCATGGTTGAAGTCACGTGTGGAGCTAACCAGTGTTTCTTCCCTTCCCTATTGGGGCCATGAACGGTAAGACTCAGGCTCAGCCAGGACAGGTGGCCAGATGGAAAGCTGTGGAAGCTGTCCTCTAACTTTAGGAGGGAAACAGGGCACTGGTCTTTTCTTCCAAGGGCTCTGGCCAGTGGCTGATTTGTGTGGGATGGAGGTTGTTCAAGAGCCATTGATGGACCAGCCCAGGCATCCTCCAGTAGGGGTGAGATTGGGTTGCTGGCACTAGTCTCATGGGGAATCAGTGGGAGTGAAAGATGGAACAGAGAGAGCCAGGTAGAAACTACTGCCTTTTAGGACCTTGCCTTGGAAGTCTGGTATGCATTCCACGGGCCAGGGCAGCTACAAATTCCACCCAGATTCCAGAGGAGGAGAAAGAGATGACATTGGATAACCAACAATTCACATACTTAACAAAGCAGGAAACCATCAACAAACATGCACCTATTTACAAATTACTACTTAGGGTGCCCAGGACCTTACACTGTGTCAGAGACTTTGCCTCTTGTCAGTTTTTTATTTTAAATTATGTATCAGTCTATTTATCTTTCCAAAATGTAAAGTGTTTTGCAGTTGAAGAGCACTTTATAATTACAGAGGTATTTGATGTAGACAGATCATTTTGCATTTAAAAATATTGTTTGCCTTTAGCAAAACTCTTTGAGGCAGAGTGTTCTGTAGTATACAGAACTCCTTGTTGTTTACAGAACATTCTGTAGTTTTTTTTTTTTTTTAATTTATTTATTTGACAGAGAGAGATCACAAGTAGACAGAGAGGCAGGCAGAGAGAGAGAGGGAAGCAGGCTCCCTGCTGAGCAGAGAGCCCGATGCGGAACTCGATCCCAGGACCCTGAGATCATGACCCGAGCCGAAGGCAGTGGCTTAACCCACTGAGCCACCCAGGCGCCCCATTCTGTAGTTTTTAAGTAGTTTGACATTTACAAAGCACTTTACCACTTACAAAGATTCCAAATGGCACATGGGATAGAGTATTTGTAAACACTGCACGTGGTCTGTACAGCATTTTGTAATATAAAAAATTTTCTGTTTACAAAAGATCTTAGCAGAGTGGCAGGGTGCATTGTAATAAAGTGATTTTTTCCATTTGACAAAGTGCATATTTATTGATTCCTTTGTAGCATTCACAGAGAAGTTGTCATTCACAAAGGGCTTTATTTCTACCTATAGTACAAGTCAAAATAGAACAGCATTTGATCAAGGTTTTAAAGGGACACCTGGGTGGCTCAGTGGGTTAAAGCCTCTGCCTTCAGCTCAGGTCATGATCCCGGGGTTCTGGGATCGAGCCCCACATCGGGCTCTCTGCTCAGCGGGAAGCCTACTTCCTCCTCTCTCTCTGCCTACTGTGATCTCTGTCTGTCAAATAAATAAATAAAATCTTGGGGCGCCTGGGTGGCTCAGTGGGTTAAAGCTTCTGCCTTCAGCTCAGGTCATGATCCCAGGGTCCTGGGATCGAGCCCCGCATTGGGCTCTCTGCTCAGCGGGGAGTCTGCTTCCTCCTCTCTCTCTGCCTGCCTCTCTGCCTCCTTGTGATTTCTATCTGTCAAATAAATAAATAAATCTTAAAAAAAAAAAATAAAGCCCTTGGGCAGTTTACAAATCCTCCAGGTTTCATCTGATGTTAGGGTGCTAAGACGGTGATTAGACAGCAAATCAGGGAGGTGGCTCTGCCCAATGGGAACTGACATCAAGTCGGGGAGAAAATAAAAAAAACAAAATCATAGCAGACAGTGACGAGCGCTATGAAGAGAGCTCAGAACTGGTGAAGATAGGAAACGAATAGGAAGAGGTGGAGAGCTAATTTATTTTTTTTTAATTTATTTTTTATTTTTTTTAAAGATTTTATTTATTTATTTGTCAGAGAGAGAGAGAGAGAGCATGAGCACAGGCAGACAGAGTGGCAGGCAGAGGCAGAGGGAGAAGCAGGCTCCCCGCCGAGCAAGGAGCCCGATGTGGGACTCGATCCCAGGACGCCGGGATCATGACCCGAGCCGAAGGCAGCCGCTTAACCAACTGAGCCACCCAGGTGTCCCTGGAGAGCTAATTTAGAGCAACGGTGTTCAGTCACAGAACACTGCAAAAGACCTCCCCCACCAACCAGCTATTTATAAGGTGCTTTCCTGCTTACAAAGCACTTTTGAAGTCACCATCACACTTGATTCTTCAGATAGCTTTGGGAGATGAGTAAATATTATGAGTAAATATCATAAACTATTTTTTTACTTATTATTTTTTTTAGAGAGGGTGAGGGGAGGGGCAGAGAGAGAAGGAGAGAGAGAATCTTAAACGGGCTCCATGCTGGGCATGGGGCTCAATCCCACGACCCTGAGATCATAACCTGAGCCAAAATCAAGAGTTGGACGCTTAACCAACTGAGCCACCCAGGTGTCCCATAAGTTGCATTTCTTTTCTTTTTAAGATTTTATTTATTTAGGGCAAGATTTTATTTCTTTAGGACCCTCCTTGGGTCCCCTCCCTCCTTGGGATCTTTGTATGATCACTTTGTTGTCACTCAAAAAACCTTGTTTTGTTGCTGCCCACCAAAAAAT